CGAGAAGCGTGAAAACACAACTACAGTAGCATCATTTTCGATTTTCAGTTAGTCATTTTCCTGTTGCCATAGTAGGATATGACAACACTATCACAAAATTCATCAACACTATGATCTGATGGTTGGAGTTGCATGTAGTGGCTGTACAAAACATCTTGCTTGACTAATGAAGTGACCTATATACAGTGTGCAAGGTTAATATTCATTTGACTATTGAACTAAGTTGATAAGTAATAAACACCACTGTATATCTTATGTTACAGAGCAGTAGACACTAATATATATATATATATATATATATATATATATATATATATATATATGTGTGTGTGTGTGTGTGTGTGTGTGTTATAAGGTATATATTTAGGCAATCAAAATTCATTTAAACAAGTTTTATTAAATTCAACTAACACGGCTTGTCTGCTTAAATTTGATTGTTTTCTTTTATTTCAATTTTCGAATAAGTTGTTGCACACCTGAATCAAAATTATGGATAAACTGTCCACAGAGTTTATGTTTCGATTTTCTTTTAAATTTTTTAATTAAAAAAATGTAAAACAAAACAACAAAACAGAAAGACTGTTAAGAGTCACATAACTTACATCGTCTAAAAGCAAATATTTTATTAAATTTTAAACACATTTTAAAATACCTTCCTCTATGATAAAAAAAAAGACTATATTTAATATGGGTTGTTGTTTTAGTCGTTTGTTTCGTATATCAGTAGTTTCAAGTGTTTGAATCGTTCTTATCAGTAGGTGTTATATAGTATTTTAGCATTATCTACTAATATTTGTCTAATATTAATCACCATAATGTGGTCTTATGTGATATGCTGGTCAACATGTGTACAAATAGTACATAGTTTTGATACGAGGCAAATTAGTCTACGAAGGAGTGTGATGGTTGTGTGACCATTATAAGAATTTAATGCTTATTTTTGTATGTGTGTGTGTGTTCAAGAAACAATCTCCCAAAAGACACACGAATCCATAAACAACATCTATTTTGCGTAATGGTTATTTTTAGGTCTAGTGTTATTAGCGATGTCAGATGTTTTATAATTTCTATAATAAATGATAAATCTTAGACATTCCTTGTGGTTAAGTGACAAGTCCCGAATGAATTAAATGTCAAATTTTATTAGATTGATATCGATGTTGATCGAATTTTCAGGATAGACGTATATGATAAATATGTCTGTAACATATAATACATCTGATTTTAATATGAATATTTACAATACGATATACTGCCGTGTGAGATTTTATGACGCAACTCGAAGGCTGTTCATATTGTAATAAACATATATATTACACTACAGCTATTATTATTTATTTTCTATTTCAGGCATATAAAGAGTGCCATTGATTGTAAGAAAGCTATAATCACAAAAGGAGAACAAACTATTTAAAGCAATTATGTGATGGAAAAAAAAAGAAAAAAAAAGTTGAACATATTAATCAGAGAACAATAAAAAAGAAAGAAATTAAAAATAATGGCAGGATAAGAAAAAAAAATGGCTCTGAGCATGTCACAAAAAGAGCTTTGATAAAGTTAAAAGGATAATAAGCAAGAAACGTGACTTGACCAACAAGAAAAATATTTGAATAATTGGTGTTGCAAAGGTAAACAGAAGAGAAAAGGTGCAAAATATTAAGAACATTTAAGTAAATATCACAAAGAGAAACATGTAAGTTGGATGAAGCAGTACATGAAAACTGTTTTCACAACAGTAATTTTATGAATATAGAGTGACTCTCAACCGCGTCCAAATGGACCCTGTGGGGGGGGGGGGGGCTCTATGTAATATTACTGAGGTCTACAAAAAAAAAAAAAATAGCAAATTGGGGATCTAAGTTAATATATTTTAGTGGTCCATAGAGTAATTTCAAATCGGAACGATTGTTACAACTGAGAATTGGAATTTCTACAGTAATTTACGACATTAGAATACTAAAATTAGGAAGACAAACTAGCAGAAAACGATGTAAGTTAGTGTCCCTTTTACTTTCACTTTTAATGTTATGATTGTAAAAGCTGAAATACAAACTGAGAAAGATATATAAAGGAAAATTATATAAAGATTATAATTTATTATAATAAATTAATTATTATATAAATCAATTTAATAGATTATTAATAAATATTTTTTTAATTTATTAATTACTCATATATTTTAAAATGGTTTATGAGTTATTTTATTGGTGTACATAAATGTTCCATATAATTTAGTTGTTAAATACAAGTTTATTTTTATTAAATTATTCTTAATTCAAAATAAATTATATACATTTCTGTCAGTCAGTTATGTGCCATGCGTGATACAAGCTTAGGAAATCATGTATCTTTCGATACATGATTTATGAGGCAGATTTTTTCCTGCAGTAGGTTGTCATTTCTTTCTACAGTAGACCAGTTGCCATCCAAGGCTATAGAACCCGGTCTGTCCTGCTATTTACCCAAAGCTGGTGGGAGAAGAATAGGACTCATACTTTTCCCAAGGGTATTAGCACGTAAGTGAATGTAATGGATCTGACTGAAATTCGAACTCGGCTCTCCGATTTTCTCCGCCGTCTTTCATATACATTTACTATTTCTATAATGCAAGTAAAAAAAAAAGAAGCTTTTTTTCCATCGAATGTTTATGGGTGTCCACACACAAAAAAAAAAAAAAAAAGTGTAAACGTGGTCCAACGGTAAGAAATGGTTTGAGAACCACTGATAGAGAGCTACCCTGAATAGTTGTGACTGAGGTTGTTCTTTTATAATAAAGACATTAAAAAAAAATCAACAGCCGACAGTCATGTTTTTGGGGGCTAATGTTGTAGGCAATAAAAATTAGGCTCTTCCAAAATTGATGTTAGTTCAAGATAAATACCAAGTATTCTTCTAAGCTCTTGGAAAGATTTCATTAATATTGCAAATCATAATCCAGAATTTTTTCATATTTATATATATATATATATATATATATATATCTAAGTGCTCCTTCACAATCTACAAAGTTCTATATTCCCTAATAAAATTAGCAAAAAAGAGAAAAAAATACGGATTCAAAGGCGCTAAATATAATGGTCCACAACTGGAAAATTTTATATTTTTTAGAGACGTATATGTGACAATGGAAAACATTCAAGTAAAGAAAATCGCTGGGAATCAGTAAAAAAAACTGCTAAAGTCAAAATAGTAGAAAAGCTAAGAAAATCAATGATTGAAAGATTAATGAAATTTATAGAATGTCAACGAGCCCATATTAAAATGTAAATAAATTTATTCAGGTATATCGGATATTGTATTAAATATTTGTTTTCTAAGATTATATCTCATGGATTGATTTATAAATAAAAATTTGCGTTTCACTTTGCATAATAAAATCTCAAACCCCCAAAATAAGTTATTATCGATACTTTTAATACGGATAAACTGAAATGGTAATGGTAGGATTAATCATTTCCGTATAGGAACCATTCGACATTGATTAGCTTGAGTTAGCATTACTGTTGTTACATATGTTAATTATTTTTGTTGCTGTCCATGTTGGAAGTCTTCAAGTAACGTGTTTTTTGTTTTTTTTGTTCTTTTTTTCTTTATAAAATTCTTCGTGATTTTGTAGCGCTTGTCTATAAGGACTGATGGACGGTCTTCTTTTGAATGAAGAATTAATTCACTTGAAACCATTTTTAATCATACATCTGAGAAACTTTGGAGGCCTTGGCGTGGAGTAATGGTTAGCAAACTTGTCTCGCTAGAACCCTTACAGGCTGTGATGGATAAATTGTTGACTAAATTACGCAAAAGTGAAAATAACACTGACATCTCATTTTAACAGATATATTTATCAAAATTACAGAAAAAATAGCTTAAAATACTAAAGAATAAATTTATTCAATAAAATCACCATTGGCTTCAACCACGGCTTCCAGATGACTTCGGAATCTTTTGCAACTCTTCTGGTGGTCTCCTTGTTTAAGTTAGCGAATGCTGCCATAATTCTTGCCTTCAGTTTTTCTTTGGTGTTACAAAGAGTTTAGTTGGTTTCTCGCTCAACAGCGCCCCACACATAATAATCAAGGGGGTTACAGTCTGGAGAGTTAGGTAGCCAGATGTAAGGTGTGTGTGGTTGCAGAAAATTGTCTGACAGCCATGACTGGGTTCTCCTGCTTGTGTAACATGGTGCAGAGTTCTGTTGCCGGACAAAGGTTCTTCCAGCTGCCACCCTCTTGACCAAGAGCAACACTCCCACCTCAAAGCATTTGATGTAAGCCTCCGTGTTGAGTCTAAGGCCCTGTGGGAAGATGAATGGAGGCACACTGTCACCATCATTAGTGATCACTCCAAACACCTTCGTAATCATCATTAGACTCATCGAACTCTTGCGAATCCTCTTCCGAATCACTCTGCATTGACATTCAAACACCCTGAAATTTTCGTATTCGAGCTTCCGGCACAAATACCAAGCAGTACAGCATACCGTTTCCAAATTTCTGGCGGAGTGAATTACGTCATGGTGCTCTTTTTTTTATTATAGACGGTGCCCAACTGACCCTACTATACTGTGCAGTCGACAAAACCAAAAATAAACAACGCGCATGCGCGAAAATAAAACCCATAAAATGGCGATAATTTACCTATCGCAACCGGTATGACTGAGTAGTGAGTTCGATCCTCACTGGGTGCTTCATACTTTCAGCCTTGTGCCACATCTAAGCTTAGAAAATCCCCATACATCTGAGAAATTCATATACGTATATCCTGAAAATGTTACTAACATCGGTTAGTTAATACCAATTTCAGTGTGAAACATTGATTTGCATAATAAAATCTGACATCACAGACAGACACACACACACAAAGACTAATAAAATTAAGGCAACGAACGCTAGTTGGCACGTGCAGACACTTTCTGGCAGAACTGAAATTGCACAAAGTGAAGCAAACTTGAAATCTTTGATTGTCCAACCCGTTTTTGCAGCTGTCAAGAAATTGCACACACGCACGACCACTCAGATAGATAGATAGATAGATAGATAGATAGATATGAAGACTCAGATAGATAGATAGATAAATAGATAGCATGTAAATCAAGATAAACATATTCCTTACCAACCGAAATCTAACAAAGATGAAAAGACAAAGTTTTTTGATATGTATCCTTTTTAATATTCTGTTTACTTCTAAGTTATAAATAAGTAGGTATAATGATTGACCCCAACCATTTGTGAAGCAGCTGCCACAATTTTTTCTGACTATTTATATAAGTATACATATAGATCTAAGTTTACTTATAGTTATTTTGTCTTCTTGCATTCACCGAGTCCTTTGCATCTGAGAAAAATTTCCATTTTCCATGACTTAAAGATGAGTTTAAACAATTTCTTGCGTTGTTTTTACGTCGATAAATGCGTGGGTGGTGTAATGGATTGCGGCTCTGAATAAGAAATCGGAAAGCCGGGTTCGAATTCCACTAGGATTCGTTACATTCACTTACGCCGAAATATTATTGGGGCAGATAAGAATTCAAACTTTACTTCTACATATGGGTTAAACAGTAGGACGGTATACGGAAAAATGATTGTTGTCCTAAAAATAAAATGTTTATACACTATTCACTCGCAAAACAAATTATATATTCGTATTTTTTTTTATACTAATCGATTCGAATAAACGTCAGTTTTTAAACACTTTATTGAAGTCATTTTTATAAGTGTTACTTTGGAGATTTAAGGTTTATGCCTTCGTACCGAGAAATCGTTGTATGTTAGAATACACGATTTTTTATAAGTAATACTTTTTATAAGCAACTGCGATTTTGAGTAAATCTTAAGTGGCTTCACGACTGACGTCAGCATGGCTATTTAGAAAAAAAAGGAAAGAAGGAAAAGAAAAACGTGAAACTGAACAAAAAGCGTTATTAAATACTGTATTCAAGAATTCTATCAATTCCACTAATTTAGTTACGTTGGAATGTCTTTCATTTCTATTTATTATGAAGCATAAAAAGTTAAACAACCATTTAAGCAATCTGAGTACAAATTCTTGTGCAAAAAAATTTAGCAACCCGAGTTCTGGTCAAAATTCTAAGCTGCTTTTAAAAAATCAGTGTAAAACAAAAAGATTTCATATGGAAAAAACAATCCTCCTTAACGTTAAACATACGTGTAAAAGTCACTTTTTCTTCTTGTTTGAGATCTAAGTCGCGTATCATGACCAAATTCGATATTATATTAAAACTGTTACACTGGAATTATGTAGTCCCGATTTCAATCGGTATATGATACCATATCGGCGAAATATCTCGTCAGCTGCTTCAAGACAATCATTGCTTTCCTTATCTTCATCACTATCTCGAAATGATTTCAAATCATGATTCAATTCACCGCCAGAATAACAAATACCAAGACGAATAAATTTCTCTTGGAATATGCCATCGCCGCTCCAGAACAATCATTGCGTGCTCTACTTTCATCATCATCATCATCATCTACGAATTGTCTTAATACATTTGTATTAGTATTAGTTATTGTTCTGATATATAAGTATTATTATTATTATTACTTTGCTTATTATTTGCCTTTATTGACGCAGACAATGACAGAAAAAAGCTTGTCGCGGAAGCTGTGACATTTGTAGTCCATAATGAAATCTATTAAACAAAGGCAACTCTCTTTTATTAGGTTATCAAATTTCCAGAGGGTCATTTGACACATCATGTTTTTTTTTATAATTTTTCTTAACATATTTTTATTAACTTATATATATATATATATATATATATATATATATATATATATATATATATATATATATATATATATATATATATATATAGTGTATATATATATATATATATATATATATATATATATATATATATATATATATATATATATATAGTATATATATATATATATATATATATAGTGTATATATATATATATAGTATATATATATATGTATATATATATATATATATATATATATATATATATATATATATATATATATATATATATATATATATATATATATATATATATATATATATATATATATATATATATATATATATATATATATATATATATATATATATATATATAGTGTATATATATATATATATAGTGTATATATATATATAGTGTATATATATATATATAGTGTATGTATATATATATATATAGTGTATGTATATATATATATATAGTGTATGTATATATATATATATATAATCAACTCTCCCGTCGAATTCGACGTATGAGGGTCAAGCAGATCAGTTCCTAGGAACCAACAGCCTGACACCAGCACATGAGATTTGATTATAGTAGTGAAGGTTTTGTGCAGAACCATCCACACTTTTTGAAGGGCCGAATACAGAGATTTGGTGCACTACGTGCCACAAGGGCCCCAAATGAATCCTGCACAGGTTTTGAATTCAGAGTTGTCCTTCTTCTAGACTAGTTGCCACCCAAGGCAATATAGAACCCAGTCTGTCCTGCTATTTACCCATAGCTAGAGGGAGAAGAAGAGAATATTAGTTTCGAATAGCGGCTCGGAATGAGGAATCGGAGAACGGAGTTCGAATTCCAGACGAATCCGTTACATTCAATTACGTGCTAATATCGTTGGGAAAGGTATGAATCTCCCCCCCCCACAAGCTATGGGTAAATAACAGGACAGATCGGGTTCTTTGGACTTGAATTGCTACTGGTCTACCGTAGAAAGAAATGGCAACATTCTGCGGTAAAACAATCTGCCTCGCCAGTCTTGTATTGATAGATACTTAATCGCCTAAGCGTGTATCACGTATGGCACATAACTGTTTAAATAATAGATTTAGAATCATTATAACTCGCTGAAATCTCTTACCCGGCGTAGACGAGTACATTATCTAGTATATAAAAGTATCTTGTATTGTTCACGGACCTGATTCTTATTCGTGTTTTTTTTTTCTCCTTTTATTTCAGAAAAAAAAATTTATTAATTCATTGGTTTGAATTATAAGTAAAAGATAAAGATTGTTTCTTAAACAGGATAATGATTGATTGATTGGTTTCTATGACTTACCCACATTTGCAGGTTATTCAAAACCAGAAAATATTTTAGATTAAGAATTTTGGGGCAATAATAATGATTTCCTGATACAATTCCTACTAATTAGCCCATAGCTGGGGGGTGAGAAGTGGTGCATCCATACCTAATCACAATTTGATAAACATACAAGAAATCATAACGTGTATATAAAGTGGGTGATTAATTCTATATTACAATCAATATATAAACTGATCCCTCACTTTGTGGTCTCGGTGGTTTCTATATATTTATATTCCAGAGAATGTAAATAAATCTAAAAGACATTCCTGTGTAGCTAATCAGTATTTAATTGATTCGCTTTCGACGGTTTATCAACCTTTTGCAGGTTATTTAAAGCTAGAAGATATTCGGAGATTGTCAGAATTTTTTGGAGATAAAGATTTACTGATATGAGTCTTACTAATTAACCCATAGTTGGGGGGGGAGAAGCGGTGTATGATTCACAAGGGGATTTGCGCGTAAGTGAATATAACAAATCCGACTCGGGTGTCTAATTTCCAATTCCGAGCCGTTATCCATTACACCACCCGCACATCCAAGCATGGTATTCCCAAGCGGTCACCTATCTAGGTACTGGCCAGGCTTGACGTTGTTTAACTTCGGTGGTCGTACGAGAATCGATGTTTCTTCGTGATACGGCCGCAAGTCCCCAAATATTGGGCTTTTCAAGAAAGGTCTGTTCTCTCGTATAAACCACCGCAAGATTATTACGGCTTCAAAAACGAACATATTAAAAGTAGATATTGATATATATAAATATATTAAAACAAAGTGGGAGGAAGAACAAGGATAAACAAGAAAAATGTTGCTCATAGTAAAGTGGTAACTCAAGTTACGTGGAGTGGGGCTAACCGGTTATCGCTCCTCGGACTTCTGCTCAATAGAAGATAAAACATAAATATATGTACAATGACTTAAAAAAAAGGAGAAAGAAAAATACTACAAGAGAACTAACAGTATAAATCACAGATTGATTACATTTACACCCAGCAACTATTCATTCTACTTACAGAGGGAAGGCTGCTTGGGCTTAATATAAATGGTGTCCAGCGCTCTTTAACATTTCTTAATAAAACAAAAACAAAAAATAGTTTACACGTAAATTAATGGATATTAGAGATTTGATTTGTCAAAATTAGGGAAATCGAGTTTTACACGTGTGTCTACGGCTGTAATGGGATGACAATCACAGCGACAGGTTAAACAGGTGGAAGAGACGAAGGAGAAAAACGGAAAGAAAGACGTTTTGTTCACCGTCTCTCCAAGCCTCAGAATGTCTTGGATAAACTTTAGGAAAATGTTGCAGTTCAGAGAGTGACTTTTGAAGGGTGGGCGGCAGGGGAAAGGAAGTAGGGACGTAGGTTGGAGGGTGGGTTGTTAAAGTCCGTGTTACAAAAAGAGGATTTGTTTCTGTTGTAAGGAAGTGGGTCTTCGGGTCTCTCTTCACGGAATTAGGTCAAGAAGGATAAAGAAAGATAGAAAAGAAGACGAAAAGAAAGAAAGAGCGATGTGAGAATAGTATAAATATATAAGAGAAGGAAAGAGAAGTAAAAAAGAAAAGAGGAGAAAAGAGAAAGGAAGAGAAATATTAAATAAGAAGAAGTAGAAAAGGAGAAACGAACGAGAGAAAGAGCAATTGAGTGAGGGAAGAAGAGGTTAAGAAATATATAGAAAATAAAAAAAGACAGAGAAATTGAAAAGTGAGAAAAAGAAGGAAGGGAAAGAGAGAGAGAGAAAGATGGGAGAGATGAGAGGAAAGGGAGAAGGGGAGATAAAGAGCGACAATAAAAGAAAAGAGAAGAGGAGGCGAAAAGAGCGAGGAGAAAGCGTAGTAGAAAGAAGAGGAAGTAAAAAAATAATTACAGAATATCGAGAAAACAAGAATCGAATAGAGAAAGTAGAAAAGAAGAGAGAGGGTGAAAAATGTCGAAAGTGAAAAAAAGCAACTATAAAAGGAAGAAAGAGTAGGTAAAGAACCCATAAAAAAGAGATAGGGTGAGAAAAGAGGTGATAAAGAGAGAGAGGTTGAGAAAAGAACCGATGAAGAAGAGAGAGGTTGAGAAAAGAACCGATGAAGAGAGAGGTTGAGAAAAGAACCTATGAAGAGAGAGGTTGAGAAAAGAACCGACAAAGAGAGAGGTTGAGAAAAGAACCGATGAAGAAGAGAGAGGGTGAGAAAAGAACCGATGAAGAAGAGAGAGGGTGAGAAAAGAACCGATGAAGAAGAGAGAGGGTGAGAAAAGAACCGATGAAGAAGAGAGAGGTTGAGACAAGAACCGATGAAGAAGAGAGAGGGTGAGAAAAGAACCGATGAAGAAGAGAGAGGTTGAGAAAAGAACCGATGAAGAAGAGAGAGGTTGAGAAAAGAACCGATGAAGAAGAGAGAGGTTGAGAAAAGAACCGATGAAGAAGAGAGAGGGTGAGAAAAGAACCGACAAAGAGAGAGGGTGAGAAAAGAACCCATAAAGAAGAGAGATGGGTTGATAACGCCCCTATAAAGAAAGAAAAGAACATATAAAGAAGAGAGAAAAGAAACAAAGGAAGAAGATAATAAATAAGGGAAGAGGAGAGGAAAGAGAAGTGGTCGTAGAAGGAGAAGGGAAACAAACGTTTACGTGACAATTAACCCAAGACTTAAGTTTCCAAATTAAGCAGAATAAAGTTACATGGGACTTAATGGTTCAAAACACGCACGTGCTCATGTATACATACACAAACCTATCACACACACCCACACACATGCACATGCTATATTTTTAGGGTAAGAATGTTCAATATCATAGGCAGAGTATTTATTGAGTGTGGACATAGTCACCATGCAGTGTTTATTCCTGTCAGTGTCACGCCTCAATGCGATCTTCTGACCAAGTCTTAAGATAGCACTGAGGCGTAACACTGACAGACACTCCCTATGTCCACACACATATAAACACACACATCATATATATAAGTTATGAAAAACTTGGTAATCCGTATGGGTAATCCCAAGGAGGATGAAATCCTGAGAGCTCAATGTAAATCTAGAGCTAATATTTTAAAGAAAAACAGACCGCTTTAAGGTTCCATTATAATAATTTATTTCACCGGTACTATCTGATGATCCGGCCTCCTTTAAAAGGGTTCTGGTGAAATAAATTATTATAATGGAACCTTAAAGGAGTCTCTTATATATATATATATATATATATATATATATATATATATATATATATATTTTAATTTTTAAAAACATTAATCAGTTTGTCTGACGATCGCTAAAGCGTGAAACCCAGGGTCACAAACTCACATCTATCCAACCAAATATGTTAGCTCTATCTCTGATATCGAGCGCTTTCTAATGAGTACCGCATATAATATATAAATAATTTATTTATATATATATTTATTTATATTTATATATATATTTATATATATTATATATATATATATATATATATATATATGTATGTTTCGGACAACTTGACATTACTAAAGAATCGATTTAGATTCATTATATCTTGCTGGAGGCCCGGTGGAGTAAAGAGTAGCGGCTCGGATTGAGGAATTCAGTCAAATCCATTATATTCACATATGTCCTAATACCCCTTGGGAAAGGTATGAATCCTCTTCTCCCTCCAGCTATGATATATATATATATATATATATATATATATATATATATATATATATATATATATATATATATACTCGAATCTCCCGTCGTATTGGACGTATGAGGATTAAGCAGATCAGTTCCCAGGAACCAACAGCCTGACACCAGCACATGAGATTTGATTATAGTAGTGAAGGTTTTGTGCAGAACCATCCACACTTTTTGAAGGGCCGAATACAGAGATTTGGTGCACTACGTGCCACAAGGGCCCCAATATATATATATAATGCATAAAAAGTTAATGGTCAGAGTTAAATTGGACCAGGAAAGAGTAGTATTAAAAAGTGCTCAATACACGTGTGAAAAAAAATTAAAATACCATGTAGAGCTTTTGACTTTAAAATTTAGGAGGTCAGTCGATTTCGCTACCTTGGTTTCAAACTTACGGTAATCCTCAGGCAATTTGGGGGGGGGGATACCGTAAGGTTGAAACCAAGGTAGCGAAATCAACTGATCTCCTAAATTTTCACACACACACACGGTTGCTCAACACTACTAGGGCCTTGTTAAGACACCAGCAGTGTTGAAAGAAAATTGTAAACTTTTCTAGTGATCTTATAATATATATATATGTGCTCAGATACCCGTTTCACTCACCTCTTGAACATATTACTTGAATGGGAGCAGAATCCTTCAATAAATTAGAGCCGTCGAGCCGAGTTCAAATTATGACTTAATTTCTTGCATTCACTTTTGTGGTAATGTCCTTGAGAAAAGCAAAACGTTTCTACGCCCTCAGCTATGGGTTAAATATGCTATGAGTTCGATGTTTCCCAAGAATGTATGGCGATTCACAGTTATAAAGAAAAACTATATGAGAGGATTCCTGATCGCCTACATTCTGAAGGGACATGACATTTTATAAAAATACCAAACAGTCAAAAGCTTGTGATTTGAAATAAGTGTCACGATATCCTTTTCCTGGCACGACTATTTTGGGTGAAAATCTGCGTTGATTTTTTTCTCGATAACGGCTGGAAAATTATTTTTGATGTAAATCTTTTTTTAATTAGTTTCCTAATAGCACCTATCATTGTTTTCTGTCACATTTCGCTCGCTATATTAACATAAATGATGTGATATAAAACTCAAGGACATCCCCAAGGATACACTTTAGCGTATTTACGAGTAAGTATTTAATGTTATCGAAATGTGTAGCGACAGGCTAATGAAGAAATACATGAACGAGAGGAGAAAAAAATAAAAATAAAAATAAAAAAAAGAAGCCAGATTTCATAATTCTACTGTAATTTGCAACAAATGTTCCTAACTTTTTTTTAGTTATAACCCACTTTGAACCCAGATTTTTTTCTGTGGCTGATGAAATTATTATAGTGGAAAAAATTACTTCCATTTTACATATTGTTGCATCTTCATTGGACACACAATTTCACAAGCATCTAAAATATTTCACATCTCCAATGAAATGAACATTTATTATCAATATTTATTTTTTAAATCTTTCCTCTATATGGCGCAAAACCAAAAACTTTCACAAGCAAAAAATAAATAAATAAATAAATATAATTAAAAAAAAATTGGTTTCAAAAACATTCATTAATGAGACTCTTATCCCTGATTCTGCAATTTTTTCTATATTAGGATCCATGCTTTTTAAAGACAGACGCAGATCTTCTCTTACGATTTTTAAGAGGTTTCTAGCTTTTGATAATAGTTGAGACATTCTGCTAAAAACCCTGATTTTAAAAAGCTGAAATTGTGTCATTTTGTTTCTACAGTCAGAAAAAAAAACGGTATTTTCTGTGGTCCTTAATTAGTTCCATTTTACATAGAATATATCCAACAGAAATACAATTATGTCTATTTATTGGACACACATAATTCCACAATCATCTAAAATATTTCACATCTCCAATGAAATGAGCATTTATTATCAATATTTATTTTAAAAATTTTTCCTTTTTATAACACAAAAAAATTTAAAAAAAATAAAAAAAATAAAAAATGGTGATTTAAAGAAATAATTCTTTAGCTTCAAAATATATTTAAAAAAAAAATCCTATACGGCAAAGTTTTCAAGGGCAAAAATTCCTGAGGCGAGTTTTCCTACGGCAAAAATGTTTACGGTGAATGTTCCTAGGAACCTAAGTCTGTACTTCTATTTGCGTGGCGGGGGAAAGAAATGGATTCATACAATTCCCAAGGGTATTTGCACGTAAGTGAATCTAAACTCGACTGGAATTCGAACTCCGCTCACTCTATGATTTTAATCAAGATTCTAGATTAGTTTCCGACTGAATTTCTTGAATGAGGAGTTATCATTATTTACTTTATTTACACTCGGATTATTGTCCTCATCTTTGTTGTTCTTATTATCACAACGTTTATGCCGTTATAATCCCCGGACTTCATCAGATGCTTGTCGATCCATGAACTTTCAAGAAATTTCAAATTGAAATTAGGAGAGAGATATTAAAAGCACGCATGGATCATATATGGTGGGAAAAGCCTCGTTATCGACCACTGGGAAATGAAGCCAAAATGCTAAACAGAGATGAACAATGGGGAATCAGATGTCTGAAAGAATTAGTGCGTATAACTAGACCACGAGAATCTCCTCAGTAGGCCTAGCATAGAAATAAATACGATGTAAGAGCTGTTGATAAAGGAAGAGAAATGTCAGTAAAGCTCCATCAGCAGCAGTAAAAAAAGAAAACCCTCGATGAATGCAATTAATCATACAATTAGGATTGTACCATAGAAAAATATTAGAGTGGATTATACTGTTGGTTTGTTCAATCCCTGGACCGAGTAAATTTTTAACGCTGCCTTCCGTAAACACAACTGTTCCTTCCGTAGCACTAACAGAGGAAGATCATGGAATACCATAAAGTCTGTGCTTCGAAGATTCAATAATAAAACTATTAGATCGGCTGTAGAAGACCAATTGATAAAATGTTTATGTAATGTTGAAATGAGTTAACATAGCAGTAAATTCTGGGCAATTTCCTCACAGATGAAAAGGAAACTTGAGGCAACAGAGATATGCTTCTACAGAAGGATGCTGAGAATACCGTGAATGCAACATGTGAACAACGAGGAGCTTTTAAAAGAAAAAAAAAATAGAAACAAAAAAAAACGTGTATACTTAATATAAGCTGTAGACGGTGATAGCTCTCCATAAAGAATTTTTTTTTTATTATCTTTAAATTGCCATGCATTCTTGAAAAAGATAGTAGATTGGTTTCCCGTTGCCTCCTTCCTGATTTGGCATCCACTGTTTTTCTTCATTTAGACTGGTTGCCAAAGGTAGAGAAACCAGTCTATCTTGTTATTTAACCCAAGAAGAGGGAGAAAAGATGAATGAATCCCGAAATTTGAACTCGGCTCGCCGACTCCGTTTTCCGCGCCAATATGCGTTACACCATCGGTACATCTAAAAATGCTGATTACTGGGATTGCTATGGAGCCGCTGTTGCACAAATTTGACATAAGGTTGGGAATCCCCGACGTGCTTACGATGAGGCCGCGTTTCAATTAACATGCAGTCACTCTTCATCAGTACCAACAACAGATGTAAATACAGATGATTGTAGTTCGAGGATTACCCGTAATTCAGCTGCTGAGATAAGTGTCAGGAAAAGACGGGTGTCTTGGTAGGGTTAAGAGGGAGAGAGGGAGGGTAGATCAAGATGGCTACTTTTCGTCAGAATTTGATTGGGGAGCAAAACAAAAAATAGTGGTCAGAATGGACAAGAAAAAGTGAAGAAAATTTTACTGGTTTGATAATAAATATGAAATAAAAAAAAAGAAAAGAGACGATAAAGGAGGAGAGAAAACTGTGAAAAAAAAGGTCTAAAAAGAGTAAAGAAAGAAAGAAAGAAAGAAAGAAAGAATTAAGAGAGAAAAAAGAATAAAGACAGAAGAGAAAAAAGAAGGGATAAGAAGAATGAAACAAGAAGAAGAAGAAGAAGTAGAAGAGAAAAAGAAGAAGAAATAATAAAAGAAAAACAACGAAATAAGAAATAAAGGGAGGGAAGGGAAAAGAAAGAAATAAGTGAAAAAAGAAAAAGATATAATGAGAAGAAATAAAAGGAAGAAGAAATAATGAGTGAAGAATGAAATAAGAGGAAAGAGAATGAAAATAACAATGAAATAAAGAAAGAAGAAAGAAAGAAAGAAAAAAGTGAGAAAAATGAAAAAGAAGAAAAGAAGAAGAGCAAAAAGAAATACGACAAAGAAAATAATAAAAAGAAAAACGAAAGAAGGAAAGAGAGAAAAAGAAGAATTGAAAAAGTAGAAAATGAGAAATGATGAAGAAAAAAAAACTAGAGAGGAAGGCAGAAAATACGAAAAAAATAAAAAGTGAAAGGCGAAAAAGAAAGAGAAGATGAAGGAAGATAGATTAAAAGTTAGAGGGGGGGCATATACGAAGAAAGACAAAGATGAAGAAAATAGAAAAAAACGAAACCAGAATAAAGAAACATTGTAAGAGATTAATCATATGGAATGATATTTCTTTAGAGCAGGGGTCGGCAACCTTTTGGAGAGAATGGACCAGAAAGCTAAACATTTTGTCTCGGAGGAGGGCCAGGATATCAAATGTATTACAACAAATTGTCTCGAACTCAGAAGACTGTTCTGTCCAAAAGGCTGCTTTGGTTTGGAAGGTTAAAGAAAAATAACGAAGTTAATGTTATATTATTTAAACAAGGTTCCTTATTTTACTGCGGGAATAACGGAATAACAATTAACACAATCAACAAAAAAATGAAAATTCCTTACTACAAATGAAATACAGTTAGAAACGGCAAATTATTTCATGAGACACTTGTTTCTGCTTATTGTTCGACAACTTCTTCACATCAGGGGAAACATTTATCAATGACATGAAGAAAACATCATCCAGGTGATCATCACCCAACCTTTTTCTTAAACGAATTTAAGTATATTTCATTTTAGAAAAAAAGTTGTTCCCAAATATATGTGCTTCCAGATAATACCATCATTTTCGCATTATTCAAGAGGCTTTTATATTTTCCGCGCGGCAAAAAGAAAATATTTATTGTAGAAGCTAGCTGTGAATTCGGAATTCAATTTTGATTTAAAAAATTCGTCACATTTGTAAGTGAATTAACTGATTTTTTTTTTCTACCACTTACTCCAAAAATTAATTAGATAATTATTGTCCAGATATTAAGATGGACGGCCGGACAAAAATCCTTCGCGGACCGGATGTGGTCCGAGGGCCGCTGACTTTAGAGAATTTTAAATTTTCTTTCACAGCTAATTGTTGCATTGTATCTGTCAGGGTTGAATCCTCTAAAAACAATTTTCATTATATTCAGTGATAAAACCGTTTCGTACGATCGTATTTGCGAAAGAAACGGTTGATAGCTGAACGGAATGTCAGACAATTTCAAGACGACCATTTTAAATTTAATTTTTTAAATCTCATTAGCTTATCGGGATTTTATCAGTGTCTACTTATAAAAAGTTAGTGACGTTACCCTAATGACCTGTAAGACTTTCGGAGAAAAAGCAATCGGGCATGTGTACTGAGTAAACCTTAATTCCGAATATATAAGAGAAAGGGAAAAAGTGAAATGGTGTGTGATAAATAAAAGAGGCGGGAAAATGGGTGGCGGTGAAGGTCATACATTGGGGTTTCAAGAGGGACGTAAAAGAATAAAGAAAATAAAGAGAGACAAAAGAAAAAAGAAAGGAAGAATGAAAAAGGAAAAGAAAAGAGAAAGTAAGAAAGAAAGAAAGGACAAAAAGACAAAACAAAAAGGGAGAGAGGAAAGAGCAAGGAATAGAAAATGGAAAAATATCGAAAGAAGTGATATAAATAGAAAGAAAATGCAATGAAAAATTAATAAATAGAATCGAAAGAAAAATCTTTAAAAAGATAACGAAGAAAATAAAGAAAGAAGAGGGGAAAAGGAGAGAAAAAGAAAGAAGAGGGGAAAAGGAGAGAAAAAGACAGAAGAGGGGAAAAGGAGAGAAAAAGAAAGAAGAGGGGAAAAGGAGAGAAAAAGAAAGAAGAGGGGAAAAGGAGAGAAAAAGACAGAAGAGGGGAAAAGGAGAGAAAAAGAAAGAACTGAATAAGAGAGCAAGATAGAAATAGTGAAGAAGAAGAAGAAGAAGAAGAAGAAGAAGAAGAAGAATGCTTGACAAAGATGGGACATTCAGGAAACCAATGGTGAAGCCATCTGTTTTTATTATAGTTATGATGTTATTTTTCTTTAAATTTCAAACTGAAAGAAAATAATATATATATATATATATATATATATATATATATATATGTGAATATGAAAACGAAACTAAACCCAGAAATTCTAAAAGAGAAAGACAAATGCCGAAATGCAATGTTTTAAAAGAGAACAAACCGGGAGGGGGGGTTAGGCGGAGGAAAGGTTCAGTGCGCGCACGCATCTTCCGCGGCGACTCACCGCTTTTAGCTTCCCCACCCCCTGCAGCCCGACCTTCTCCCTTTCGAAACCTCCCCGACCCGACCCGATGAAAATTACAGTGATGAAATTATTTGATTAGCTATAAAGCTTGTCAAATTACAAGGCAGAAGTTAGGGTTAGGGTAACGTGGAAAGACGACATGGGGCGCGGTAATGGAGAGTAAGGTGAATGCGACTGTCTTTTGTCTAGCAATATTCAGACCAAGGGGAAGTTGGGGGGGGGGCGTGGTGACGACATGTAAGATCGGGGAGTGAAGAGGGTAATAGAATGCGATGACTGTGATGATGGCAGTGGTACCCCCAGTCCCACCCCACAATTCATTTACCTATTTTTTCCTTTCAGTGTGTTTTGCGTTCTTTCCTTACTTTGTTTTTCCAAAGTTTTTTTTTTTTTTTTTTTAAGTGTAAGTCATTCATTTGTCTTTTTTGAATTTGCGAGATGGTATACTGTTTGGTATGTAGCTTAGAAAACAAAATCTGCAAGCCTGGTTCGAGTTCTTGCTGAAATTTCCTGCGCATTAATGTCTTTATAGGCATGAACCTAGCTTTCCCTAAAGCCTATCAAATTACTCGATAGTTAAACGTAAATATGTAGACAACAAAATAACTGCACCAGCCATTGCCAACCCTAACTGGCAGCAAGCATCACGAACACGAGTCCCGTAACTGATCAGAATCTTAGGGGCACTACATGTACTCCAACCGCAGTAGAAGTCTTGGGCAAGATAGCCTGACGGAGCCCAACCCTCTCCGGTTTGATTTGAAATTAGTGTGTTCTTTCTCTTAGACTAGTCGCCAACCGAGGCTATAGAACTAAGACTGTCCCGCTATTTACCTATAGAGTCGGAGAAGAGAGATTAATTCGTACCTTTCCCGAGGGTATTAACACGTAAGTAAATATAATGAACTCGACTGGAATTCGAACCATAACAGAGTAATATTGTTCCGACCATGAAACCCGGGTTCGAATCTCACCAGGGTTGATTCGCCAAGGAGGTGACGTGTTGATAGTATCGATATGCGAAACAACCATCGTGTGTGTCAGCGTTGGGGAGTGGCTGTAAACGAAACCATACCACGAGTTGATTCAAGCCCTGTGACTTAAACTGTTCGCAAGCCTCTCGATAGCTGTGCTAGTAACAAGCCATCATTACCGAGAGTGTGAGCGTACGAGAATTGTTCAATTACGGATCACAAACGAAAACAGTGTAACCAAGGTTGGCTCAGCATCAGTCAGTTAAGTGCCATATGTGACACATGCTTGGAAGATCATGTCTCTTTCGATTCATGACTTACTAGGCAGAAGATTTTTCTGTAGTAGTTTGCCGTTTCTTTCATTAGACTGGTTGCCAGTCAAGCTTATAGGACCCAGTGTCTTGATAATCAACCCATAGATAGAGGTGGAGAGAGATGGATTCATATCTTTCTCAAAGAGCATAAGTGACTGTAACGAAACTGACTGGAATTCTGTTGGCTCAGCATAGTTCCAGAATAAACCACAAGTTCCTTCTGTGGGTGCTGAAGAAATACAAATACGCCTTAACAAACATTTATAACAGGGATTAAATCGTCACCCTAGCAGACGGGTATGTTCGGAAAAGAAGCAACTGACCGTTGTAGCGTGCGTGTGTGTAATAAAATGCCACTCTTGATGATTAAATAATTTATTGGATGCTTTTGGAATACTTTGTCATTATCTTTGGGATAAACGGGCAATCACACTAGAAACAAATATTTACCAATCTGCAGTCTTCTCCACTCTCCTGTACGGATCGATATCATGGCTCCTCTATCCTTTAGATATTGACCAGTTTGATGTCTTCGGACCATTTGTGGACGCAATTGACACGACAGAATTTTACATATTGATCTATTCTCTAAATATAAAATTGGTGGCACTGAATTCTTTCCCACCACAATTCCAGATTAAAGCGGAATGGTCATGTCGTCAGAATGAGTAACAATAGAATTCCAAAGATTCTCATGTCTCTGCTCGACGATAGACAAAAAAGAAACGTCGAGAATCCGTGACTGAGGTAGAAAGACAAACTGAAATCTAACATGGAAGCGATACAGATAAAGAAAGGCTAGAAACAATTGCATTGAACTGCAATGAATAAAGGTTAACGAGCTATAAAGCTTCGCCCTACTTTACATAACTATATGTTTTTTTGTTGTTTTTTTTTTCATATTATATTCTTTATGGATGAAGGTGATTATGACTCTCCATAGATTCCTTTCTTTATTATCTGTGAATTTTCATGTATTATTCGAAAACATAATGGCGTGATTTCCCATTGCTTTCTCCACAGTTTTGAATTCATAATTATCTTTTTCATAGACTGGTTGCTATCCAAGGCTAAAAAATTCAGACTACGTGGATGAGAGGAGAATATAGCGATTCATTACTCCCAAAGGCATTTATTCAAACCTGAACGTAATAGACTAGACGGGAATTTGAACTCGGCTCGTCGAGTTTATGTTAGATGTGGTAAAGACTGGTAAAAGCGCGCCGAGACGTTTTATCAGAGAATTTAACATATGAAATTGTTTAAAATTCTAACAGTCCTAATACACTAGATAAGAGTAGATAGGCTTGTCTACCACCCAGTTCACACATCTCCATGGTCTTTTGAACAGGAGTAGAGGTTCATCCTTTGTTTCTTGTTTAGGATTGGGTTTCCGGTTCCTTCTAAAATCTACTTTAACTCTATGCTTCTAACGTCTCCGCCTGAACTTTAAAATTTTATTCACTAATTAAATTTTGACCTCTTCAAGTCTAGAATTAGCTGTTATATTTCCTGAATAGCCCTTCTTGCTATTTCTTACGTTTACAACTTCACACAGTAAACCTCTACCTTAAATGGCTCTCAGGTCTTGTACTGGGTGAACATCAGTAAGAAAAACAAAACAGGAAATATGCCAGTGGCGTAAAAAGGGTTCTCGGTACGATTTTGGTACCCTAACTGTGAAATGATTTTCTATATGTTTTGTTACTTATTACTCTATGAATGGCAAAAAAAAATGGTACTAATTCAATTAGACTTCAATATTAAGTAATCATTTTACAATTCATTCATACACTAATGTTATTTTTCAGTATAATAGCTATAGTAAACTAATACTGTATGTTGACGTCAAAGTTCTGGAACTCACTTGGAAAGTTATTCATTTGTGGTAATGTCCATGGTTTAGGAAACAGGCAGAAGAATAACAGATCTTATAGATTTACTTTAGGATTACATTAAAATAATGATTTCACAAAACTGGTATTCATGGCTATATTAAGTTATTGATAAACAAAAATTTGTGTGATTTGGGAGCGATTCCCCCCGCCTCTTGCTCTCACCTTGCGACGCCTCTCAAATGTACATAATTAGGGTCACTGAATTATACGGTCCTGGGTATGACAATAAACTTCATCCGCGTTCTGGGTAAGACGATAAACTACGTCCAACAACAAGGCCTCTGATCAGGAGGTTTTGAGGATCGTGGAACCACCTCTTAATTGCTGGTGTTCCCCTGGCTCGGGGTGGTAGCACCTATTAGGGTCCCAGTTATGGGCAAATAGTTAATCCCCAAACTGGGATCAAAACACTATGAAAGGGTAAAAACAGGTTTTAATACCAGAAATACTTTGTAAAAAAAATTATTACAAGTGATACATTTTTGAAAAAAAAAGTTATTACCAGCTATAGTATTTTTGAAGAAAAAAATATTACCAGAAATACATTTCTAAAAAAAAAAAAATATTACCAGCAATAAAAAATTTGTCGGCATTAATTAACCCATTGAGGTTGATATGCCGTAAAACAAACCAAACCAAACTGAATTATAATTAAGTGTCCTCTGTTGACCGAACATTGCCCTTGAACCAACGATGCTGTATTAATATTTATCGTTTTCTGAGAAAATTGCAATTCTGGATTTTTTAAAAAAAAAATCTAATACTACAAGTCTTTTCCGGGTGGGGAAATTAAAATAAAAAATAAAATATTCAAACGTCGGTGATCATTAATGATAATAGTTGATAAATATACTTGTGTCTTTTTAATAAATTAAACAGAAATAAGCCTTTGTGTTCATCACTGTAGAGACTGTTTAGTGAAGTTGTTTTATATTTCGTTTCAGTTAACTACAATTTCTTACAAAAAGGTTTGTTTACGAAACTCTAGAGTCGATGTGCTGAATATAACATCAATCAGCTAAATGGCAAATTTTATATTTGTATTAATCATATATTTTTTAAAACGGCGAAGTTAACGTCTAAATCATCGAAAGTCCAATAAAATGAAAATATATCTTTGAAAATATGAAAATATATCTTTAGGCAGGAATCGAACCAGTATTCTATTTATCTGGGAAACCAGCCTTAATTGTTAGCCTGACTAAAGAGTGTTCTCCAGATAAAAAGAATGCAGGTTCGATTGCTGTCTGGAAGTACATTTTTAAATATAAGACTTTCGTTTATCTCGTTCAGTAGGTGTTAATTTCACTATTCAAAAAAACAAAAATACGTGCCAACTCAAATACGTACTCACTAAGATAATGTTCACAGTAATAATAATAATATATATATATATATATATATATATATATATATATATATATATATATATATATATATGTGTGTGTGTGTGTGTGTGATGCATTGTTACATGATGGTACTTTTTAGCACCATCATGGTTTCCCACCTAAAGAAATGATAATTTTTAGCGTTGAAACACGATGTACAGTTTTGTAGTGGGTTCTAATGTAACAGCGCATAATAAATAAATATTTATTGCTTTACTTTTGTATTGAGCCCTATTTTAAATTAACGTTTTGAACGTTGAAATTTTACTCTTCGTTCTTTTACATTTGAATGTTATATATATATATATATATGTATGTATTCGGTAAAATAACATCACAGTAGGGAGATTTAGCTTGATAAAGAGCTGAAGTCTCTGGAAAAGACACCGAGTGCTTACAAGAGAACGAAACTGGAAGCGGGAATGTCGCTTGTACGTTGTAATATCTGACGAAGTTTGCAACTGGTCACGCGTTTTATAGTTGGCGTGGATTACCAAAAGCAATGTCCATGGGAAACTCGGATAGCTAAAACATACATCAGGAAAAGTCTTTTATCGCAGTCAAATCATTGCTGACAGTTAAAATTTAAAGAAATAGGGTGGAGTGTAAATGGATGATTATCCCTTCTGGAAATTCTTAATGCTGCGATAACGTTTTTATTTTTCAATTCTTTTTTTTTTTTTTAAGTTTATATGGGTGCTTAAACAGCTTATTAAATAACCGATCAGTTACGTTTTGTAAAAAACACAAGAACACACTGAGAAACAGTCTAAACAATCATCGGTTTATATATCAGAGAATTTCTCTTTGTTCTTTGACGGCCGCCTTGAGTGCCAAAAAGCACGACATTCTTTAGATGCTTTTCACCATTGCTGCTGACATGACTTCTGAGCCAGACGCCAAAATTGTTTGCCATAAACAAAGAATTTTAAAAAGTAGTAAAAATTTTTGCCTATTAAAATAGAAAAGATAAACTGACGATCCCAGTATATTCGAAACATCTCAGTTTAATCTTATTTCAGTCAGTATAAACATAGATCCTCTGTCTATCTCAGTCAGTATAGACGTACGTCTGTCCGTCTGTCTATCTATCTCAGTCAGTATAGACGTACGTCTGTCCGTCTGTCTATCTATCTCAGTCAGTATAGACGTACGTCTGTCCGTCTGTCTATCTATCTCAGTCAGTATAGACGTACGTCTGTCCGTCTGTCTATCTATCTCAGTCAGTATAGACGTACGTCTGTCCGTCTGTCCTATTCAGTCAGTCGTACGTCTGTCCGTCTGTCTATCTATCTCAGTCAGTATAGACGTACGTCTGTCCGTCTGTCTATCTATCTCAGTCAGTATAGACGTACGTCTGTATCTCAGTCAGTATAGACGTAAATCTACCTATATCAAAAGTATAACTGTATACCTGCCTGTCTATCTAAATCCATATGTATCTTGCTAACAGAATGCGATAATAGATAGAATGAGATATGAACAGAATGAGATACTTACACACTGTTTATATCAGCCGAACTGAGTGTTCCAAACTACCTCTTTAATTCTAGCAGATAAATTCGAAGTAGGTTTTGATTTCGTGTATAAAAAGACCTTGGATTTTTGATCAAAGGAATCATCTATTTACTGCGCCATATTTATAATTTGATTCTAGCGTTAACGCTAAGGAAACAACTCAACATAAATAACTCGATATTTTAGGGCAGTGTTTCTCAACCACTGTTGCCCAGGAAACCGACTGTCTTTCACAAGAGGTCACCAGGGGTTCTGCGAGAAACAGTGTTAAATAAGCTAATGAATTTTGAAGTAAATTTTGTCACATTGGGCAGACTATTATTGGAATATCATGACTGAAGCTAAGCCCTTCCTATCATGCATAGATTTCAACCTAACAAAACTATTATCCATGAAGATTATTATTATTATGTAACATTTTCTATTTTGTAAATGGTGAATATTTTTTCATGTCTGAAGCTGAGTTGCTCTTAGCCTTTCCCGTCATGCATGGATTTCAACCTAACAAAACTATTATCCATGAACATTATTATTGTAATCTAAGAGTTTTCTCTTTCTTTTGTAACTGGTGAATATTTTTTGTCTGAAGTTCACATCTTTTCTCATCACTAGTTGACTCACTAATTTTTTGTAAAGGTTTGATGTTTAGAAGACGACTTATACACGGATGAATACGAAATAAAGAATAATTTGATTCGACCATCACTTTCATAGAATCAAGTTTAAAATAGAATCGAGAGATTCAAAACCGTTAGACACTCCTATATCGCGCCTCAATATTCATGACATGCAAGTGTGTGCAACTGTACAGATCTGCTGCACATGTATATAGGTCAAAAGAATGTTCGCCAGGCTGTTGGGTGTCTGGCGCGATCAGAGGACTGTGGGAGAGGAGGACAGAGTCAGGCGGCTTGTATCGGTAAAGATTAAAGGAATTGTCGATTTGCAATCTCAGGATTGACCCATTTCTTCGAAATGCTGATTCAGCAATTTTCCTTGCCAAATCGCGTTTAAATAGAAGACGAGTCTTTTGAATTGAATAATTGCAACAATAAACGAATAATAATAATAATAATAATAATAATCTGTATTATAATTCCTGTTTCTATTTGCGTGCGTGTTTAATAAAACAATAGAGCAAAAACGGTACTTGATAACGATATTATTATTAGAGCAATACCATTAAATGCGATTTAAATTTTCAGTCCAATTTAAAATGAGGATAATGTAAGATCTGTATTCGTGCTCACAACGATAATAATAATCCGATTTTTGTATGATTGTGCGTTTATTACGCACACACAAACAACAAATGAAAAGAAATAGACATCAAAATTATAAAGGGAAAACAAAGAAAAAAGAGTTCTAGTTGCTGCATAAAATGGTGCTACCCATGAAGCAACAATTCTTGTAAGAAATGCATTATTTTTGTACAAAACAAATGTATCATTCTTTTATATCAAAATATTCATCTTTTCGTTACTTTTTCTTATTTTGCTGTCATCATTAAAATTTTCTCATTGTATAACATTTTTATTAACTAACGAGATTCCTGCTGATTAGGTGTTGGAGGAATTACAAATAAAGCTAACTTTTAATTTTATATGTGATTGAAATTGGGCTAATTGCAATATCTTATTATTTACCAATAATTATAATTTTATTTCTATAAATAAGATGCAATTTGACATCGAACTTAAGGATCGCTTTAAGCGATTAACGATGATGATGAAGGAATAAAGAATTAACTACATGAGATTTCTTGGGTTTTATCTTACTGATCGCCAGAATAGATAGGAATTCAAATAACGTTGTTATTTTGAATAATCACTTTGATTACATAAACATGGATGAAAACAGAATCAATAGCATCATACATAATTATTAATTGAATTTTGATCTAAAACCTTCATCGTATAATATTCGATCAATGTGATTAATATTCACCCGTGAATTAGGCGCATTGACAAGAAAGGAGATTATTTTAACTAATAATTATTTTAAGAAATTAACGTATTTATTAATAATTATGCTACGAACTTATTGATTTACCTACGTATGTTAAGCAAAGAGAGAGAGAGAGAGAGAGAGAGAGAGAATGAACAGCAAACGACCGTGTTTTGTTAATCAAATCAGAAAAGGAACAGGCTATAGAGAAAGAAAACGTAAAGAGGGAAAGAGGAAGAAAATAAGTAGAGAGAGAGAGAAAAAAGTAGAGAGAGAAAAAGTAGAGAGAGAGAGAAAGAAAAAGTAAAGAGAGAGTAAGAGAGAGAGAAAAAGTAAAGAGAGAGTAAGAGAGAGAGAAAAAGTAAAGAGAGAGTAAGAGAGAGAAAACGAAAAGAGAAAGAAAGAGAGAAAAGTAAAGAGAGAAAAAGTAGAGAGAGAGAGACAGAAAAAGTAAAGAGAGAGTAAGAGAGACAGAAAAAGTAAAGAGAGAGTAAGAGAGACAGAAAAAGTAAAGAGAGAGGAAGAGAGACAGAAAAAGTAAAGAGAGAGGAAGAGAGACAGAAAAAGTAAAGAGAGAGGAAGAGAGACAGAAAAGTAAAGAGAGAGGAAGAGAGAGAAAAAAGTAAAGAGAGAGGAAGAGAGAGAAAAAAGTAAAGAGAGAGGAAGAGAGACAGAAAAAGTAAAGAGAGAGGAAGAGAGACAGAAAACGAAAAGAGAAAGAAAGAGAGAAAAGTAAAGAGAGAAAAAGTAGAGAGAGAAAGAGAGAGATAGAGGGAGCAAATGTAAAGAGAGAGAAAGCGAGAGAGAGAGAGAGAGAGAGAGAAATCGCGAAATAGATAATCAATGACAGGATATGAAGGAGAGAAAGAATGTGATAGAAAAAAATAAAAAAAGCGACAAAGAAAATGAGCTAGAAATAATAGAGAGAGGGAGACAGAGAGAGACAGAGAGAGAGAGAAAATTAGAAACAGAGAAAGATAAAAAGAAAAAAGAGAGAAAACGCAAGAGCAATAGCGCGAAAAAATGCCTATGAAAAAAGAATCGGAAAGCGAAAGAACACAAATGAGGGAGGTAAAAAGAAAAAAAGAAAATGATAGAAAGATACAAAATAGAGAGATAAGTATAGAGAGAGAAGAAGAGGGAGAGAGGAGGGATAGTGAAAATAAAATTGACAGTGAAAAGCGGTGGGGGGGGAGAAAGAGAGAAACAAATTTTAAAAGAGAGTGGGAGATGATAAAGTAAAAAGAGGTAGCAATAAGAAAAAAGCCTGAAATCAGTTTAAAAGAACAGGGCCAGAAATAATATAAAACAAGAAAACAATATATGCAAGGCAAATTAACAGTGATAAGGTAAAGCAACACTAATATGACAAAAAGTTCACAAACTAAGAATTAGCGTTCATGCACAAAAGCAAATTCGGACAAACGAACTTAGCGTTCTGACTTCAAGACAAGACAGACCGGGACTGAGTCAGATGACACCGAGAATCGACCTATTTTATCTGCTAGGAAAAATCCCAACATGCATATTATTCTATGGAACATTTATGTACACTAGTAAAATAACTCATAATAAACAATTTTAAAATATGTCAGTAATTAACCCCCAATGTGCTACTTTTTGTGTGGAACCCAATAATGTTACATGACCCCCACCCCGTGGTCCATACGGACCCCGGTCGGGAATCACTGACCTAGAGAAATCGGACAGCAAAAATTGTAAAATTCAAGTTTAAAGCTAAACGTCTCTGTATCTTTAGCATTTTCCCGAAGGAGAATTGTAACCGAAATTTCTTTTATTTCGATCATCATTTACATATGTTTGATTTCATCGATAAAAACATTATCTAATTTGAAGAAGTTCTTCAGTCCTTCCTGAAGAAGAAATGCGTAATAGAGGATTTTTTTCTATTTTGTTATTCAGTTACCCAATATATAGATAGATATGGATGGACGGAAACAATCAGACAGATAGGCACTACGGTAACAAACATACCCCAGTCTATTTATCTATTTTGGTTAGCTCTCCCACTGTAGCTGCCATGTGCCAGGCTTAAGTTTTTCATTAACATAAGATTTGAGGTCTGCTATAGAGCGACAGTTAGCATATCTTTGTTCGTGTTCATTGCTCAGTAAGAGACTGTGACGGTCATGTGCCACCCGGAGCCGTATCCATGTCGTAAGAAACTACGGAAGGAGTGAGCAATTAGATAACAGGAGACTCGGGAAACAGAGACAGAAGAAAATTTTCGAGTTTATCACGAAAATCGATAGCTTTTCAATTGCAAGAATACGCTATTTGGTATCGCAAGTTGAAATCTGAATCTTGATGTCTGCAGCTCACCTGACTCAGCAAATCTGAATGAGCCGAGTGGAGGTTGGGGCATTTTGAAGTAAACTTGTGGCGTAGTGGTGGGGGTAAAGTTGTGGGGCGGAGAGAAGAATGCGGACCAAAGAGCAAAGAGAAGATGGTCATGTGTCGATGCAAAACTGATAGAGAGATCAAACAATCGATCTTTTAATCAATCAGTCCATGTGAAAATGGCGACAGATTGATTAAAGCAGCGATAGTTGGCGAGAAAATTCGTGCCGTCAAAAAAAAAAAAAAAAAAAAAAAAAAAACATTGAGAGAGAAAGAGATCAAATAAATTGACTGAAACTTGTCTTCTTCGCGACCTTCAGCTTTCCATTCTACATCACGTTCTTTCACTATTATTATTATTATTATTATTATTATTATTATTAATAGTGGGAAGAAAAAGGAGATAAAAAACGAGAACAAAAATGGCCAAAAAGAATACGGCGAATAATAATACTAATAATAATAGTGAGAAGAAAAAGGAAAGGCTAGAAGGACAAGACAAAGATAGTCAAGAAGACGGCGAATAATAATAATAATAATAGTGAGAATAAAAAGATGGTGAAGGAGAAGACAAAGGCAGCCAAGAAGAAGACGGCGAATAATAATAATAATAATACAGTGTAACCCGGATATAAGAGACCCGGATATAAGAGAAACCCGGATATAAGAGAGATTTTCTCTGGTCCCAAATTAGAGCCTGTGTTAATGTATATAAATTAGACCAAACCCGGATATAAGAGAAACCCGGATATAAGAGACTTCTCCGGTTCCGACAACTCTCTTATATCCGGGTTACACTGTAATAATAATAATAATAGTGAGAATAAAAATGAGATGGTGAAGAAGACAAAGACAACCAAGAAGAAGACGGCGAATAATAATAATAATAATAATAATAATATTCTCCGCCGTCTTTTTCTCGGTTACATTTGTCTTTGACATTTACTTCTTCACTGCTTGCTTAGCTACCTTTAACTCCTACATTTCGTTTTTTTGTTTTCTCATTATCTTCCATTTTCCACCATCTTCTTGTATACCTTCCATTTCTCGTTTCACATTGATGTTGTTATTAGTGGTGTTGTCCGTTTCCGTCTTCTTGGCTTCTCCTTCGACATCTCCTTTTTCTTCTTATTATTCCATTTCAACATTGGCTACGTTTGACTTCTCATTCTACATCTTTTTCTTCTTCATGTTATTATTATTATTATTATTATTATTATCTTCCTTCTTCGCCATCATCTTAGATAGCTTTCTCTTCTCATTCCACATCAGTAGCTATTATTATTATTATTATTATTTTAGAGCAGCACTGATTTTGTAAGGTTTTTCCTTGTCTTCGTTAAGCAAGAATAGTTAATAGAACTTTTTTCTTTACTGTTTTTGAGTTTGAATAAATGAATAAAATCAAATTTACATTGACCGTTTGCCATTAACTTCAGTTTTTATTATGTTCCAAAAAAGTTAAATCCAAATCAATTCTTATTCTCTTCTGAAAAGAATATATTTCCGCGTATAAGGCGGCCGACAGATAAAACGAGGAAATAAAATAGAGAAAATTTTCATGAATTTATCCTATATCTGTAGGTATAAGACCACTGCTTATTGATTATATAAAGATGATGTTATTTAAAATGTTGTTACTTACTGTATCCTTAGAAATTCAAAATAAACGAAATAACAAAACCGATTCTATATCATGTTTTTCCTAAACACGTCCCTAAAAGGGAAACCATTGTTTTGTTTATGTTACATCATGTGATCTCTTGCAAATAACGATTCTTCTTCCTCTTCTTTTAAAAAGTTTTAAATGCAACTACCATAAAGGAATTTTCTATTTAAAAAATAAAGTTTTTATGTAATCCTAAATTGTGTTATTATTTAACACCAAATGAATTTTTAATGAGAAATGAATATTATGTCACCCTAAATGTTATTACTTTCCTAATTAACACTACCATGATGTTTACTGAAGTTTAGCGAAAGATAAAGGTTGCCGTGAATGCAAATCATAACATGATGTTTACATTTTCTCAGCTGGTTTCATTGATATAGAATTATTCTTCGAATGGGCAATTTATTATGAAGTTATGTCAGTAATATATATGATAGAAATAGTTTTATTACTTTTATTATCAGTTTATTTGATAATGTGAATCTTATCATCTGCGTTATTGATTATCGCATCGAGGCCGAGGTTAGCCTACCGACAAACATCACTAGGAATTTAAGGTTTTTTTTTTTTTTAGAACTGTAGTATAAGACGACCCTCAATTTTTATGGGTGATTTGGGGAATTTAAAGGTCGTCTTATACGCGGAAATATACGGTAATAACATTTAAAATATTTACCAATCAACTCATTTGTAACTGTAAATCAAATCTTATTTAAATTTCCACAAAACCCCTGAAAATGCAGTTTTAAAAAATTTCATATGCCGATGTCCAAAACGACTTCATGTCTTGTTGTTAACTGAGGCAAATGATGGCTTGTTAATTTTAACGCCCCCAAAACTAAACTGCTATCCATTAATCACTTTTGCCTTCCATCAGTATGGCTGATGCTAACCCCCAGGAAAGTGACTCATTGCACCTTCAATGGCTAACATTCTCAGCTGACATGAAGTGGAAAGGCAATATTGAATCCATTGCTAGGTAAGCTACTAAAAAAGTTGGTTCACTGTGTCGTTCGAGACTATTTTTCTCTCCAGAATTTATCTTATATATCTATAAGTCTACCAATCGGCCATGCTACCACATATGGTCCAGTTACCCCGCTATTTACCTTGAGCTCCTTGATAAAATCCAAAGACGAATCAGCAATATTATTGGTCCTGATCTAGCAGCTCGGTTTCAGTCACTTTCCCACAAGCCCTCTGTGTCTTTTCTATAAATACTTTCATGGTAATTGTTTGGATGAGCTCTTGGCTATTGTACCTAGACTTTTAAAAAAATTTAATTGCACTACGAGGCTGGCATCGGGATCTCATCAATTTACATAGCTGTAGCCGTAAATTCTATTGTAACAGTTTTTCTTGTGGAACTCCCTGCTGGCTCCATGCTTTCTGGCCAACTTTAATCTGCAAAAATTTAAATGCAATGCCAATCGCTATCTACTGTTCTCCTGATTACTCTTTTTTTCTTCCCGCTCACTATTAATGTTTCTGCTCCTAATTCTTCTACACTCTGTAACCCCCTTGTATCTTAGTGGCTTTACTGCCTTGGATGGGGTGATACCAATTAAAAAAATATATATGTTACACTTAAACTTTTATGAAGGTTACCAATTCTGATAATACAGGTTGCGGCAGAAATACCACTCATATAATGGCAAGACATTAAGTGGTAATGGAGTCTTCATCTACAATTTCTTACTATTATGACGGAGGTATTACTGGTAGATAATTCTGCCGCACTCTGTATTTACGATTTATTGAATAGTGACCATTTGTATATCACCTTACATCAAATCGTTGGCAAAGAGAATCATTCCCTCTAATAATTACTCATCCATTGGTGATTTTCTAGCTTAGAGGTAGCACAGTGCCGAAAGTATGGGACACACAGTGAGGATCGAATTCACTATCCAGCTATAATTGAACTAGTAAGACAAGCTTACTTAATCATTATACTACGTCGAAGTGCCCAATCCTTTAGATTGTATCCATAATAAAAGAACTGCATCAACTTCTTACATTGATCACTCAATTGCAACAGTCTCTCGTATGTTAATTTGCTACTTACAGAAATTTAGAGCAATTCGGACACATCAACCATCACAGCACAAACAAAATATAGCATAAAACAAATATTAGAAGATAATACTAGAATACTGTACAACATTTATAAAGATGGACTGAAAATACTTAAGAATGCTATCTTTACGCAAAAGAAACATAAACAATATACTTTACATGATTTTAAAATATTTTTTGTAAATGTCATTATTGTCTCTCAGGCGTCGTCAATTTTTGCGACCCCTAACAGACTATTTTTTTTTTTAATTTAAAATGTATAAATTTATGTGCTAAACGCCCTACATATAAACGTCCCATGAATATGTACGTACATTTAAAAAAAAAATAGAATTCTAGCGTTCCTAAGAATGAAAAATTCTCTATCACACTGATAACGCTAACGTTCCTGATAAGGACTAGAGATTATTTTTAAAAAAAGTACTCGAACAACATGAACTTTGGACATCACTCCAAATTCGATCCAGTTGTGCGACAGCTTATACACAAACTAGAAAAATGTAATAAAAAACTAAACAGACATTGCTCGTCGTTCGGTTTTAATAAAACTTGTTTGAATGAATTCTTACTGCCTACGTGTAGGTTTTATATATATATATATATATATATATATATATATATATATATATATATATATATATATATATATATATGTGTGTGTGTGTGTGTGTGTATGTATCAAAGTCCCTTAATGTACGTCGGCGTATTCTGCATTCGCTTATGTATGTATATAAAACGGGGCCAAGCAGCCTTGGTGGGTAAATTTCTCGACACTGAGACAGACTCACACACAGAGACCAACAAACGCGCTTCGGTCGGCGAAGCCATAAATAAGTTCAAAGAAGAAGAAAAAAAAATATCTTCATCTAATCTTTGTAGCTTTTCTCACCCTCTACCAAAAAGCCGAACCACTCCAAAAACAGCTGCTCCCCTTCCTTCTCCCGACCACACGTTTCTTTGGGCTTTACTATCAGATCTACATGCGGGGTGGGGGTGGTGGTGTTGGTGTTGGTGAAGGTCAGCGTCAGTTGGGGGAGTGGGGGGAGTATATGTAGTAGGAATCGGGGAAAACATGGATATGAGTCCCCCACCCGCGTATGTTTAAGCACCAGACCCCTCGCCTTGCCGACCAACATACAGAGGTAATAACAGACTTTCACGATGTCTAAATAACTTATTTCTTTTTCCTCCTACCTCTCATATCTATGCTGAAGACACAAAAAAGAAAGGAGAAATCAAAGGAGGAAAATGAAAGAAAAAAAAACAAATGAATAAACGAAAAATATATGAATAACAACTAGAGAAACGAAAGAGAAGAAAAGAAAATAGAAATATCGAGAATAAAAAAGAAATGATGAAAAAAAAAAAAGAAACTAAAGAGAGAGAAAGAGAGAGAGAGAAAAAAATAAAGAGAAAGAAAAGGGCAAGAAAGAACCAAAAGGAGAAAATAAAATAAAATAAGAGAGGAAAAGGAAAGAAAAAGAAAGAAATAAAGAAGGAAAGGAAGAAATAAAAAAGAGCCAATAGGAGAAAATAAAGAAAGAGGGAGAGTCTAAAAAAAAAAGAAAAAGTAAATGAGAGGAGAAAGGAATGAACAAAAAAGCAAAGTGAGTGTGTATGTGTGTGTGTGAGTGAGAGAAAGAGAGAGAGAGAGAGGGGGGGGTAATCAAAATAAGACGTGGGAGGAAGAAGGGGAGAAAGAAAGCGTTAAAAAGGGAAGAGAAAAAAAGAAAAGAAAAGTAAACAAGAGAGGAAGAAAAAAAAAGGGTGAAGAAACATAGGAAAAACGACGAATTTCGCTGATGAATGGTAGAAATAATTCCAGGGAAAGGAAAAGAAGTAATGAAAAAAAACGAACGATAAAAGAAAGAGAAAACACAGAAGAAATGAAAAAGAAAAGGAAGAATGAAATGAAATAAAGGAACTGTAGTGAAAAATGGCGGGATAGGAGATTGAGGAAGAATAGAAAAAGAAAAAGGCAATCAGATGAAGGAAAAAAAATATAAAGATGAAAGATAAAGTAATAATGTGAATGACGGAAAGAAAAAGAGAGAAGCTTGGAAAGAAAAAAATGAAAGAAGAAAGAAAAGCTTGTGCAGGAATTTCCGTTATGAGGTATTTCCATACGCATCTTGTTCGTTGAGATCATCAAAAGTTCATAATTGCTCAGTTTCGTAACGTAAACAAAGCAATTTCTAAAGTAGTGGACCTTTATTTATTAATCCGAGATATTTTATTACTTTAAACGTTATTTTCAGTGGATACACATCTTTGAGTCGATGTTCTATCTATCTATCTCTCTCTCTCTCTATATATATATATATATATATGCTCGCGTGCACACACGCACGCACGGCGGTCCGAAAGTCTTGTAACTCCTAGATAATAAAATTTTCTATTTTCAGATGGCTAAGACAAAATCCTACAATTTGAAAGAGAGGTAAGAAGTGACCAGACTTTCGGACCACCCTGTATATAGCGTGTACTCAAACATGGGTATCTACTAAAAATAACGTTTAAAGCAATAAAATATGCCGGATTAATAAATAAATAAAAATCCACTATTTCTTTAGAAATTGTTTTGTTTACGTTTCAGGTGCGAAAGTCATGAACTTTCAATGATGACGATTTCTACAGCAAAGTGGGGCGCAGGTACGAATCTCACTGGAGGGCGTATTTTCTTTAGTAACCATTTCTCGAATATTCAGGCCGATTATACGAAATAAAATAATATTTAAAATGAACGGAACATCTAATCAAATATGGGCCTCAACTAAACAATAATTTTTAACGTAATACTCTTTTTTTTTTTACTGAATAAAGTTAAATTTCGAAAGGTTTTTCTATTGACATGTTTCGCCGATGAGCCAGTGTCATCAGAAAGTCATTTCTGGTGACGCTGGTTCGGCCAAACCTTTCTATTACTTTGTCATGACCATGTCGCTTCTGAGATTTACCTACCTCTACGAGAGTAACTGATACAAGGTCACGATTAATGTGGAGTCCCGCACGCAAACAAGTTAGCAGGGCCAGAAATTGTTGAAGTTCTATCAGCACTTCACTTTTTAGGGTCATTTCTAAAGATTGACCCTGACCTTCCTTTTTGCATGCCGCTTCTAATTGTTCCATTGAGCTGGGTATATAGTTCCAACTGTCGGACATTGTCCTATAAGAAAATCAGGTAATGTATTTTTGGAGCCTTAAACCTAATATCTATTTTAAATTAGTAATAATTAACTAATACGAGTTATTTCCCCTAGCCAGCACATCAGAATGAGAACAATCTAATACTGAGAATTTAGTAAAGAGTTCAGTTTGAAATTCAGATCTGTCAGTTATACAAGCTTTCGATTCATGACTAGGCAAAAAGATTTTCCTGCAGTAGGTTGCCATTTCATTCTGCGGTAAACTGTTAGCCAACCAAGGACATAGAACCAAGTCTGTTCTGCTGTTTAACCCATAGGTGAGGGAAGACGAGATGGATTCAGACCTTTCCCAAGGTATAAAGTAAGTGGATATAACGAACTCAACTGGATTTCATTCAGATATTAACGAATATGACAAGCTCTTGAAGAAGATCGACCGAAACAATTTTGGACTATGACGAAGAACAAGACTTCGAATAAAATCAGTATAGTTCGCAAAATACACTTTCTGATGCACTGGAGGAGAGGGGATTGCCAGTGATGTTTTGGTCGAAGTCTTCGAGGATTTCGGGTAAAATAATTAAATATTATGTAAATATAAAAAAGTAAAATGAAAGAATGTTTATTAAGAACCAGTTAAAACTAGTTTTGTTACCTGGCCGTTTTTCTTATTACACTTCTCAGATTTTTCGAATAAAAAAAATGCCGATTTCATTCCTGTTCGCTTATCTCTTTCTTTGATTTTCTTTCATTGTTCTTACGGGTCGCTTCTTTCATTCATTTCATATACCATTTGTTTTCTATTCAGTTCTTTTGGCCATCTTTTGACATATTTTGTCCTTGTTTATACATCAAGCCATTCTTTCTTTTATTTTCTATTAGATTTTCTTTCTTTCCCTGGATTGTATTATTTTTTTTTCATCTCTGCCTTTCGGGATTTTTTGTCTATGCTTTCCTCCTTCTTCTTTCTTGCGTTATTTCTTTTATCTCGTCTTTTTTTCAAATTGCTGTCCTTTGTCACTTGTTTACTCTTTTCTTTAAAAAACATTTCACCTCAAGCAAGGCGATAATGACACTAAGACGTAATGGTTCACTTGGAGTGAAAAAGAATGAGAAATCTTTAGAAGGAACAGGAAACCCAATCTTAAACAGGAAACAAGGGATAAACCTCTACTCCTGTTCAAGAGAGTGTGAAAAGGGTCACCTACTTAGTTGTTGCCTTTTCCTTCATTTTTTTCTTCTTTTTTCGTACCTGTTTTCTTTCTCTTTATCTCTCTTGTTTTTCTTCTTTGTTTTTCATTCTTAATTTTTTTTGTTATCTCTTTTTTCTTTCAGTTTTAGTCTTCATGCTTTCTATTTATTTACATTTTTTTTAAAGACTTTCTTCATTTCTTTAACTGTTCAATTTTTTTTTTTTTAAATACTGTCCCTGATCTTTCTGGTTGTTTTCATTATTTTTTATTTTCTATCATCATTCTGATTCTGATATTCTCTCTCTCTCTCTCTTCCTTCCTTCTTTTTAGTCTTTCTTCCGTAATTTTTCTTTTTTACTTAAAAAAAAATATTCTCTCCTTCTTCATCTCTATTTTTTGTTAGGTTGTTTTTCTTTCCTCTTAATTCTTCATTTCTACTTTCATTTCTTTAACAAAACTCTTTCTTCGTTTCGTTTCGTTTTTTCATTCATTTCCTTTTTTCATTTGTCCTTTCATTCCAACGTTTTTATCTGAGTAGTTTTCTTTGTCAGCTTATCTTCATTTGTCCTTCATCAACAACTTTCTTTCCTTCCTTCTTTCTTTTCTTTTGATTTATACTTCGTCTTGATTTCTTTATTTCTACACTACTCTGTTTCCCCCCCTTTCATTTGTCTTAAATCAATTTTAAGCAATATTCTCTTGTTTTCTTTTCTTTGAATTCGTTTTATTTCACTGGGTACCACATTCCCATTCCCGGAACCATTCCCTGCCCTCTCTTTAATTACTTTATAACTTTCTTCTTATTCGCTTCTTTTTCATTCACTTTCCTTAATCCCTTCTTTCCGTCGTCATTCAATCTTTCCCCTTTCAGTTAAGTTTCTTTCTCTCTCTCCTCTGAGCATTTCCCATCTCACTATCCACTCCCTCCTTCCTTCCTTCTTTCCTTCCTTCCTTCAAAAGACAACGACTTTGATTTTAGCTTCATGTTTTCTCGTTTTCTTTCAGTTCCCTTTATGAAGGTTCTTTTGTATGTGTCTTTGTTCTCCAACCCGGGACATAACAAAATAATACGCCTCTCTATTCACGACTTTACCGAGAAACACATCAAACATATCGCTCGACACAGCAGCGCGTATATAGGACATACGACGGACCAACCTCTCTCATGTTCACTCTTTACCTCTTATCTAAACATAAAAACAGTATGGCGACTCTTCCGATGGCTCCAAACACCGTTTTATACAGACTAGATTTCCTTCGTCTCAATTGCTAAGGAAATAGAAAATTATAATTTTCAAAACAAGACTTAAACACCAACAGAAACAGGCAAGAGATCCTGAACTTTTCAGACGAAATGAAACAAAAAGAATGAGGAGGTGGAGAACGGGAAAACGAAGAATCAAATTCAAAAAGCCAGGAAGGATTGTAACTTCCTTAAATCACAAGTGATTAAGTCAACGATAATACTGACGGGATAGATATAAGAAAACTTTCTGTCACTATCCCTAGCGAAATCACGCTCAAACACCGGTCTTCTTTCGATCAGCATCGAGCCCGGTCAATATTTACATGGGGGATCGCTTGGGAACACCGGGTACTTTAGGCAACTTTCTGCAGTCCGAAATATGATACGGCTTTAAATAACCCACAAAGGGTTGATAAACCATAATAAACAAATTTATCAATCAGTATCCCGTGATAGCCACCAGAAATTATGGATAAGAAAATCAATAATAAAATCATTGTACAAAAATTCTTTCATTAGATATGAAAAGAAACAAATAATTTTCAAGTGGGTACCTACAGTAACACGTTGGCCAACAAGCTTGTCTCCTTGTTGCTTTTCATCCTTAATAGATGTCCAAATAGAGTTGCCTTGTGCCAGATTACTGTAAGCTTTTTCCATAACTTTTTTTTTTTTTTTTTTGGATAACAATGATTTTTCCAGATACTATTTCTACTATTTAACCCATAGACGGTGGAGAAAGATCCATACCTTCCCCAAGGGTATTTGTGCGTAATTGAATGTAATGAACCCGACTGGAATTCGAACTCGGCTTTCCGATTCTCTCATTCCGTGCTGCTATCCAATTGCAGCGAGTCTTTCAAATTCAGGACTAGTTTGTTGAGTTCACTTCGCATTGACGCTCTTAGGAAAAACAGGAATCGTTTTATTGTCCCCATCCAGATTTGAGTTAAATAGCAAGACAGACTGAGCTCTCGAGCCCTGGGTGGTAGCCATCTAGAAGAAGCCATTCAAAACCAAGAAGGCAGCTGGAAACGACATCACTATATTTCAAAAGAAGATGTAAGAACATTGCATGTCAATTCAACCAATCAATGTAATCACACCAAAATAAATTTTGTTTATTTTGATATATTTTGCATATCTTATTGTCTTTAGAAAATCATGAACATTTGAAGTGAAAATTACTAACCGTTTAAAAATATCGCAAGTTGAAATTTTGCTGAATCAGCATTTTCCGTTGACATTTTCAAACTTGACGATTTCACAAAACTCCTTATATCTTCTGATCCACAGGTCAGAATTTACTGAAATCTGATGTCCTTATAGAGTTTTAGTCAAGTAATCCAAATATCACTTTAGAATTTTATAGGAAGTAACCAGAAAGTATATATTAGCAGTTATCTGGTGAAAAAATGAAAATTTCTAGGCGGCCGACTAGACAGAAAATCGGTCGCCTAGAAATTGAGAAATATCATCTTGAGCCCATAAAAGTAGCAAAAAGTGGCACAACATTTGAAAACTAGAGTATTTGGGGAATAGATTCAATTGAATTTAATTAACTCATTTAAAACTACCAATTCTAGACTTCTTAATATTTTTCTCAAAAATTCCGATTTGGGGTAATTTCGCAATTATAATCTTCGAATTCTGCTAAAGATAATGAAAACTATAGCTAATAAAACATTGGGATAACATTACATAAAATTTAGGGAATTAATTCCCTAAGTTTTATCAATTCTCACTTTTTATTTCCGTTTTATGGCTGTATAATTTGGTTTGGTCTGGTTTTACAGCATATCAACCTCAATGGGTTATTTAATACCGACAATTTTTACTGCTGGTAATATTTTTTTTTCAAAAATGTATTGCTGGTAATATTGTTTTTTTTTTTTTAAAAATGTATAGCTGTTTGTATTGCTAAAAAAATTTTAATTTTTTAATATTGCTGAAAATTTTTCCTTCAAAAATTTGTTGCTGTTTTTTTTTTTGTTTTTTACAAAGTATTTCTGGCATTAAAACCCATTTTTACACTTTCATAGTGTTTTGATCTTAGTTTGGGGGTTAACTACTTGACAAAAAGCTAGGACTCCAACAGGTGCCACCACCCTGGGTCAGGGTGGACCCGGGAACACTAGCAATCAAGAGGTTGTTCCGTGCTCCTCAAAACCTCCTGATCAGAGGCCCTGCTGTCGGACGCAGTCTATTGTCTTACCCAGGACGCGGATGTAGTTTATCGTCATACCCAGAACGTTATGGGTGCTTGAATATGCATTGCAAAAACAAAACTAAAAAATCTTAAAAATGCAAATTTAGCTCAACTCAAAAAGCAAAATTCTGGAAACAGTCATTATCATCGGAAATATTGTTTGGATGACTGAACCAATTCATTATGATATTTTTCTAGTCAAGGCCAATCTAGCTATGACAATTTTCTGACCAATCGATTCTACAGCCTTCTTCAGGTATTCTATCTGTAACAGAAGAGATGGGGTCACTTGTGCACCAACACGCTTCTGGAATTAGCTGAATCGGTCAGCATAACTGAAAAAAAAGAGATCTATCTCGTTCCTTATGGATTTTATACCCGAAGAAGACTGCAGAGTGTATTGGCCGAAATGTTAATATATTTAATAACCAGAATAAACTATAAGGTAATATGAAAATGTCCGTGTAACAAAGCACTGACAAAATGTAGCTATCTCAAAAACATTTTAAAACAAGTGTCCATAATATAAATTAATTAAATAATGTCTAAATTTTATTCATTTTTTATTTTGTGATTCTGAGCTGTAACTGGTGTCCTGTTTAGCCAAAATAAATACAAAATTATGATTTAAATTCTCCGAGGACTTGTCCTTATAACTAATATAAACATTAAGCAATACAAAAAGAATTTCTCGAAATTTCATAAAATTAAAGGCTTCTGAGATAACAGGTAGAAAGAAAAAGAGATCTTTTTCCAAAAAAAATTCTAAATAAAAACGTTTCAAAACCAATTTACTTCATTTATGAATAAGCCATAAAAGTTTCATTAAAATCCGACAATTATGTGATTTTTGCAAGAATTTCCAAATCAATGTTTTCACCGCAAAAAGACGCTCAAATTACCAGTACAAATCTATGGCCCAGCGTTAATGTCAGAAAAAAACAAGAATTTTAATCAAAATTTCCAAGGTTCTAAAAAGGATGAAAAAAAGTGGGGTTTTTTTTTTACGTTTTTTTAAAATAAAAAATTCTTTGATCTTTCATTTTAATACTAACACAAAGATTTAAACTATAAAAGGTTGTTTTTATTATGTTTTGTGCTTTTTGCTTTCATCCTGTATCCTCAATTTAGCCAAATTTTGAAGGTATCTTGATTTATGTCTTCCGTAGTCAACAGAAGCAATAATAGACTGTTGGTAGCAATAACATAACCAGTATATTCTTTATAGATATAAAACACATACTGCCGCGTATTGTGGTTAGTATCTGATATAGTGTGTAGATTATATCAATTCAGATGATATTGAATATTCACGGATGATAATATCGTACAGTCCCTCCTAGAATAATGTGTCGTTGCAAATCGCAAGCGTATCGTCCATTATGTAGGACCAAGGCAGAAAATGACAAGACAGGATCAAAATTCAAAAGGACAACTATTTATTTCCAGTTTTCTAACTTTACACAAAAGATCTGACATCAGCGTGTACTGTAATATCAGGATTCAGTTGTATAGACAACATGTCAAATAATATTGTCATGACGCTGTACTTAAAAACTCTTTTCAAACAAGGAAAACCCTCGAATTATATTCGTGCAGCGAAAAAGACAGGCAGATCTCCGTCCGTCTAATGGCCATTCATTTATTTAAAGAATCACAGAAATGAAAAGGGTTACGACCATATCACATTGAAAGACCAGTTCTCGTGCGTTCACCGAAGTTAAGCAACGTCAGGAATACCAGTTTGGATGTGCGGGAGGTATGCTTGATAATGGCTCGAAATTTGAAATCGGAGAGCCAAGTTCCAATTCCAGTTGGTTGCGTTATATTCACTTATACGGAAATACTCTTAGGAAAGGTGTGAATCTACTTCTACCTCCCAACCCAGCTATGAGTCAATCAGTAGGACGTGTATCAGTAAACCAATAACTCCAAAAAATTCTTACAATCTAAAAATTTGCCTGGCTTTAAATAACCAGCAAAAAGTTGAAATGATAAAACCTCTTACTAAGGATTTATACTGAAAAAGTGACATCCAGAAAGTGATGTGACTAGCTAGAATATGGAGCACGATTAATTCAATGGAGAGGAATCTGTGATGAAAACAGATAACCAATAGTCAAGAGTTATCCTCATCAGCCCCTCGACCAAGGATTTCATTCGATACGTCGATAAAATTATACGAAATACTCATGTTAGCGATTTGTTTTGGTTTGAAAGAATAGACATCTGTCAGATTACAATGGAATTGGAGGGGGTTGGGGTAAATGGTTTCAGCCCAAATTACAAAATATTAAGCCTTTAATGATATTAACAAAAACAAAACCAAAAAAAATAATGATCAGAAAATAAACAAAAATTAAATGAATAAATAAAATAACTTTATATGGAATAGCTAGAGTTTTCTTTGCAGTTATTTAAAGTATTGGAGGTAAACTTACAGAAAAAAATATTTCAGTTTTGGGGGTAAACTTAGGAAAAGATGTTTCAGTTTTGGGGGTAGACTTACAGAAAAAGAGTAAATCTTCTTCGATTCAATGTTGATGAATTGTTAACAACTGTTTCTCAGTTTGTATTTAATAAAAAAAATCAAATATTTCCTCATAGGTTCGATTCTGGATTCTGACCTAAACCCGAGATTGATGGACTTGCTCAAAAGAATTCAGGCAAAACAAAAAGTCACAGGTAAAAAGTTACGGCAAAAAGTTACAATAAAAGAAATAGGACAAAGTTAACACAAAGCGGACAAAATCCCTGTCTCATAAATGATTTGAAATTTCAATGCGAAATTGAAA